ATGACATTCACCTGATTAGATGACTGTGTTCACAAGTTTGCCTGGGTAATCCAGGCTGGTTCTATCATCTCTTTCAGTCCCCTGCTACCATTTCACAGAAACTCAGTAGTTACTAGGCAGCTATATCATGGCTGGTTGGGAAATGACACAATATATGGACTTWGCACGCTTGAAAAGCACCTTAATTTTCCTAGGAGAAGTACCGTGGAGGTAATTTCTCTAACTTGTTTTCCCTCTGTGCTAGTTTAATCAGCTTAGCTATTAAAAGATAACATGGGATTAAGACTATCATTAGACCTGAGTGGTCATGTGGTTATGGTGTAATTAGCACTGCTGCTGAACTCAGTGTTACATTTTTTTAATAGGTAACTACATAACAAAACCAGTACCCAGTGCACAGGTAATGAAGCACAAGAAAAATGAACTCTYTCTCCTGGGATCTGTAAAATATTTGTCTAGCAGCTTTCTTCTCTCTTTTCTCCTCTGTCATATTAGTTTCTATATCAAAAGTATTTAACTGCTTGAAATGGGATTAAGACACTGCAGTCTACAACTGCAATCCTGCTGCTCAGCTGCTCTGTAAGATTTAAGGTATCAAAAATTCCTGGGAGGGCTCTGACAGGGCCCAGGAATCATGATGCAGAAGCTCTGTATTACTTGGCCTGAGTCTCCAAGAGTTCRGTTTGGTCAGCATCCCAAATCCTAGGCCTGTTTTCAGGATACTGGACTTAAGAGTCCATGGGTAGGTTTTCTTTTGAAGCACAGCCAGAGGGAAAAGAAATGGAGATGGGTGCTCCTKTTACACAACAGTCTTAATAAGGCTGTGGAATACGTCCTATTCCTTTCTTTTGCCAAATGTACCTATAACCACCAGATTACAAGCTCTCCTGGGATGGGAATGTGCTGCCAGGCTCCTGTCAGGTCAATTAGGACCAGAGAAGGATGAGCAGTGCTGATATACATCGAAAGCCACATCTCTGTACCTGCACTGGGTGCTGCAAATGTGTTTTGTTTAATGGATATTAAATTAAGTTCTGCTCACCTTTATCTCTAGACTTTGGTTTTAGCCTCAGAAGCTTGTTGGAAACTATACATTATTTCTTCTGCTTACAGTAGACAACCTGTTTTATTACTAGAGCATAATTTRCTTCTGATGTTAATGATTGATGTAACCAGGTCTTCCTCTGTTTCCCATGATTCCTAAGTGTTATTTTGGATGGGAGATAAACTGTAAGCATCCAACCCTGTCTCGACAAAATAATCCAAAGGCTCAAGGGAAACCACCCTGCATATACAGGGGTAGAATGGCAGCACCACGACCTAAAGTTTAGGATCATAAGACTTCCATTTCTGCATCAATTTTYCCATGTAATAAGGTATATGGCGTTTCCAACAAATTGTGTCAAACTGCCTTTTGACCATGCCTGTTTGCATGTACTTTGACCAGTAGACCCCTGTTTCCTTTGCTCTTTTAGAAAATGGATGGGAAGAAATCAGCGCTTTGTCCATACTGGTGGCACACTTTCCCAGCCTTCAGCATTCTCTCAGAAAAAGAGAGGTTCCAACCCAAGAGGGACAGGGTTGGTTAGTCAGGACAGATTTTCTGTGTGGCCACCCAGCAGGCTAYCACATCTGCCTGCTGGGCCCAGACTGTGCACTTTGCTAGCACRACAGCAAAGCTAACAAATCCTGTCTGCTTTTTGCTCCCAGGTGATATGATTGTTAGTGCTGGACAGGTGGGAGAAAAAGATGATGAATGCTGATATAAGCCCTGCCATGGAGATGGAAGGGGGATGGCCAAAGCACTCAAGTGAAAACAAAATGAGTTGGTGYGAAACCTTCCCTCCATGCCTATGTTCTTTCAAGTAATGCCACAAGCATGGTATGCAGGTCCTATCCTACTCCCCAGCAGCTTWGCCTTAGAAATGCTAATAGGATCAATGCTTGAAATGAGATTAAAAAACTGAATTTGAACATTTTGTTTCAACTAAATAGATTAACTGGTGGGTCAGGTGCAGCCAAACATCYACGCTCACCCTTAGGAGCATAACCATGAAGTCATTGTTCAGAAATGCTCCTTCTCTCTTCTTAAAGCTATTTAGTTTTCGCAATTTTAATAAGATGTTGGGCTAAAYATTAAATCATTAAAATTCTTTAATAGGCTTTATTCTCTCCTGAGCTATAAGAGGAACAATGGATTTCGTAAGGGCAATGTTTGAACCAAAGGTGTTTTTGTATTGCCTGACCTTACTCTACAAATATTCATTCAGTGTTAGCACAGATGGGGACTCTGGTGCAAGGCACCCAACTGTCCCACTTTTTCTATGTCTGTTCCCTGTGTAACTTCTCAGTGCTCAGAACAGAGAACCTCAACCAGATTAAAAGAGGTTAGGCTATGACTCCATTTAATGCCTGAGTTGATTGAACAGCCAGATATCAGCAGTTGGGAGGCTCAGCTCCAGACCTGTGTGCAGATGCTCCAATTGCCTTGCAGGCACTGCTGCGTCTCTGTGCCTGTGGGGAAACCCAAGTCACAAGCTGGGTAAACTGAAAACAAATAACCCTAGCTAGGGTCCCTCAGCTGCCCTGGAGGGACAAAGAGAAGACAACACATTGGTAGGGACAGGACTGTGGTTGTCCTGACAAGACCTGAAACACAAACACACCTCACATTATGGCTACACAAGAGCAGCAGCAGCTAATGGTCAAATGCTGCCGAAAGGCTACAGTCCCGCCTGCCCTCCTCTGCTGTCACATCCAGCAATTGCAGAGCCACGGGATGAGCTGGCTTGGCAGGCTGTGCCACTGCTTGGAAAGACAAGTTTGTTCTCCAAGGTGTGGCAGAGCTGCTGAGTCACAGCAAGGCCTAAGAAATGCTCACCCTGGTACCTGCAGGGAACACATCAGAGCCCACCAGCTCAGGTGTGGCTGAAGGGTTAATGGTGCACAGTGAGGAAACGTGCTCAGCATCGTTTAATGGGGTGACAGTGACTGAGTAGGCTGATTATTTATATATTTTAAATTTGTCTATCACTTTATGCTGAGGAAGTGGCTTCCTCGAGTGATTAGAGGAATCCATCAGAAGTGCTGTCTCTGGCAGTGTCCCAGGCAGCAGCATAACCAAGTTAAGATACTGCCATTTGAAACACTAGCAAAAATTCATTTAGTAAAACACCATCAAGCTTCAGGCCCGTTGCCTAAAGGTTAGTTTCCCGGCCAGCAACAAAATACTACAGTCACCCAAAGCAGGCTAGGGTTTTGTTTCTGATTTGCCTGTAATCACAAGCACAGGAATGGAGGTCTTCAGATTTGCACTTAAGGCCCAGGGCTAAAGGACTGGGATCTCACTTTTTTTGCTTCTGGTTCAGCTTACTGTGTGATGCTGGGCAAGCCACGTAACCTCCCCATTTCCCCCAGCATTTCAGCAGTGCTTTGAGATCCTCTTTGTAGACATGAAGAGTTTCTACCTTGAGGCAGTAGTGCAACTTACAGGGTAATGGTGGTATCACCTGGACAGTTGTAGTTTTAAAAAATATTTACAAAAAATCAAGATTTACAAATACATTGAGAGGAAATCTCTAAGATAAAAACAGGGCCTATGATGTTCCAAACTTTTCTGGAATTGTGATAGTGAAGCTTGGACCCTTGAAAATCAGTATGTGCCTGTGCAAATATCCTGACTCTTCTGAGTTGAGATGCATCCCTTGCTGCCAGGGCACATCTCCTTGGGATATAGGATGTGTGTACAGTGGCACAGTTTAATATTTAGTTATTTGTGAGGATAAGCTTAATATTTACAGGAACTATACTAGGTAGTTAACTATTTTACTGCTGTAGTTGTTCTACACTCAAGCTATTACTCCGCTCTCTAGATACCACTTTTGGTGCTTGCTAAAGGTTATAATCTCATCATCCTTTTAACAACCTACCTGCTTGTCCTAGGGATGCCATTTAACACTGTACACTCATTTATCTATTATTTAGACCCATTCTTTCCTGTTAACTCACTGCTCAGAATTTCCAGTGTCTTTCCTACAGGCTGTCATTGACAATGCAACCAGAACTGCCTCTATAGACTTTATATTGTGAAGTCTCCATKTGTTGTAGTTAGTGCAGGTTTTCACTGCTGGAACATGCAAGTGGCATGACAGACAAAATCACCCCACAAAAAAACCAGACACAGTGAAAGGAAAGAAAACAAAAAGGAGACAGCTAAAATAAATGTGTAATGTGAAAGTCTAGAAAGCTTTCTGAACTGATCATCAGCTGAAATAATAAAATAACAATGTCCCATTTCATGTTGATTGTTTTGAGGATAAACCTTTTTATTTTTTTTGGTACATTTTTATGAAATAAATTTACTTACGTGAAAAAGRAAGCCAAAACCAGGCTCTACACTCAGAGACCTAAGTGTAGCTCTGTGCAGTAGACATCAGCAAATAAATTTCATGCTGCTGAGTTTTTACCATGTGTTTTTGACACATTAAGATCACATGTAYCCATAATTGCTGCAGCTCCACTAACTTATTCAGGCAGAATAAGATGATCATGTGTCTGAGCTGGCAGCCAACAATTTCCTTCTAAGGGAAGCAACCCACCGGGCTCACGGCTTGGGGAGGGCTTCTGTTCACAGAGGTTTTGGGAAACAGGGATGTGCCATCATACACTGAAGSGGGGCAAGCACAAGGATAGCTCTTAGTAGGATAAGGATAATAAATGCTGCAACTCAATCTTTGGGAGAACCAGTAATGCCTGCAGAGAACACAGAAGCCAAAGCTTGGTCAACTGGTAGGAAAGACATAGGAACACAAAGAAAGCTGACACTGCAGCCAGCTTTTTATGCAATAAGCGTTACAAAACCAAGCACCTGAGTGGCTGGCAAGAGGTTTTGGACAAAGCACAAAGGCCAGGCCATGTTAGCCTGCTTGCAGCTATTGTAAATCTGATAGCTTCATTTTCTTTAGAAACAAGCATCTTAACAATTTTTTCTCTATATTTAGAGAAACCCGAAGCAGCCTATACTATCTTGAAATTCTTGAACAGAATACCATTGACAAGGAGAAGATGTGCAGGCCCTCTACTCTGGAAAGGACACACAGAGAAAGGTAAGCACACAGCTTTGCCTATTACACTGCCCCTTTGTCCAAATCCAAAATGTTTTAAGTAGAGACAGGCTCCCWTTAGCACCTTACTCTTGTAGACCAAGATTTGAGCCCATTTCTAGCTTGGATCACTGTTCCTCTCCTGAAAAAGATGCTGCTTTTTGCAGCAGCACCCTCAATATTTATGTCTCTTTGWAATATCAGTAACTTTATCTTAATGGGAGCAGACCTGCTGATTGATTTTCAGTAAGATGTAAGTACAGTTGTACTGAGCTTAACTTTGTCAGATGAACATGTGAAAGATGTGAAGATAGATTATTCACAGTGGAGTTGCTTTATCCTAGACCGCTGGTTCATAATGAAGTTAAAGAAATACATTGTTTTCCCCTCCCTTCAGTATATGAATAAACATAGTGCTACCCCTTCAGTTTTCATGTGCTCTGCATGAGGGGCCTGTAAGAACTACTCGAATGCTAAACTATAGCTTCAGCTCTGTTATTCCTTTCCCCATTGTAAGTAAATAAATAAATTAATGAGTCCTTGCCTTAACCAGCCCACATCCTCTTAAGAAGCAACCAGTCAAAACCACATTGAAACATGACAAAACCTGTGGAAGCCAGGAAAAAGCCCACCAAAACCAGACAAAACCTRTGGACGCCAGACAAGGTGGGTACATGGTGGAAACCTGCTGTCCACAGGCGATGTGGTGGGGTAGTCTCCTCCAGGGACATGTATGTCACTCTGATGGTGACATTCTGAAACCAGGGAGGCTGCCCTGAGGGGCAAGGGGCTGCAGCCAGAGGGGTCACCACATTTTTGGGCAGAGGTCATTCAGGAGGCTTTGTGAAGGAAGGCCAAAAGCATCCTGGCTGTTCATACCTTGAAGACACAAGGTGCTCAACGCGCATTGTGGGTGGCTTGTGCCAGTGAGGAGCACAAGAGGCTGTCCAGGTGTGTGTCACCCGTGTCACCTGAGCTTTCCAGCAGAGGCACTTGCCCGCCGTGCTCAGCCAAGAAGGGCTGCAGTGCTGCAGCCACAGCCAGCGGCTCCAGGGTGACAGCCAGGGAGACTTGCCAAGGTCCAGACACAGCACCCGCCCGGGATCTCACACACATTCATTTTGGAGCACTTTGGGCTGTATCGGGAATAGCGTAGCCACAGGATCAGGACAGTGATGGTCCCCCTGTACTCTGCACTGAGTACTGTGTCCAGTTCTGGCCTCCTCACTACAGGAAAGACACTGAAGTGCTTCACTGTGTCCAGAGAAGGGCAGTAAAAAAAGGGTCTGGAGCACAAGTGCTGTTAGGAGTAACTGAGGSAGCTGGGGATGTTTATCCTGGAGAAAAGGAGGCTCAAGGGAGATCTTATCGCTCCCTACAATTGCCTGAAAGGAGGTGTAGCCAGGTGGGCTTTGGCCTCTTCTCCCAGGTAACAAGTGACAGGATGGGAGGAAATGGCCTGAAGTTGCGCTAAGGGAGGTTTAGATTGGATAKTAGCCAAAATTTCTTCACTGAACAAATGCTTTTGGAATTAGAACAGGCTTCCCAGGGAAGGGGTGGCATCACGATCCTTTGGGTGTTCAAAAGGGAGGTGCAATTTGGGGGCATGGTTTAATGGTAAACAAGGTGGTGTTACTGGTTGACGGCTGGACTTGATTATTCATTTTCACCCTTAACAATCCTACGGTTTTATAAAATACACACACTGCCGGATCTTAGGCGGCGTTGGAGGCCTCAGGGGCACCTGCGCGGAGGCGGATTCAGAGAAAGCCGAGTCCCGGGACTGGAGAAGGCAGACACCGATCCCGGCACCTCACGCATCCCAGGCGGACACCCCGACACGGGACCCGCCTCCCCTCACCCCCTCAGCCCCCGGTCCCTCCGCGCGCCGCCGCCGCCCTGTTGTCAGGCAGTTTGGCGCCCGCGCGCGCGCCGGGGGCGTGGCTCCGCTGGCTGGCCAATGGCGAGGCGCGGCGGGCGAAGCTGCGGGACGGACRCCACCGCTGACCCCCGCCCCTCCCTCCGCGGCCTCTGAGCGCCTCGGCTCCGGAGTGGACGGAACGGGTTTATTTTTAAAAGGAACCCGCTTTCTGTATTGGCCGAGGGAGACGCCTGTCAGAGTGACGTTACCTTGTTGCTAGGCCGGGAAGGTGGGAATCGCGGTGCTCCCGCCCCATGCGCTGACTGGCCACCGGGAAGCCGAGAGCCCGCCCCCACACGCGTCCCACCCTGTCGCAGTTGCGCAACCGAGTGACTGACATTGGCCCGGCGGCCAGTGAGAGGCCGGGCTCCTCACGGTGCCCAATAGAAAGGCGCGGACGGAGGAGGTGGGCGGTGCCGGGGCGAGGTGATTGGCAGGTGGGCGGAGGCAGAGGAGGGTTCGCCGGAGCTGCCATGTCCGCCATCTTGGAGCGTCGGTGATGGTGGCGAGCGGAGGTTTTCCCGCCTGAGCGGAGGCACCCGGGGCCTGTGGCGGGGGACGCGCTGCCGAGGTATGGCCGGAACGGCGCCGCGCTCTCCCCGTCGCGGCTTCCAGCGGAGCMGCGCCCCGGCGGTGGCTCCTCCGCGGCCGCACGGGCCTGGCGCCCGCTSACCGCCGTGCGGGGGCTTCGGGCGCTGCTCGGGCGGCACCGGGCCGGGGCCTGTCAGGGCCGCCGGGGCCGTTCGTGCGCGGCCTCTCGCTCCCGCAGCGCGGGGCCCGGAGCGGCCAGGGCGCGGTGCGGGCTGCGGGGGCCTGGGCGCGGCGGGGAGGCCGGGCCGCGCCGCCGAGCCCTCCCTGCCCGCCGCCCTTTCTGCCCCTGGGTCCCGCGCGGGGTCCTCTGATGGGACGGTTGGGTTGTTTCGGTTTTTTAAACAAGGCAGTTTCTTGAATTAAACTTTTTTAGGCACATGCCAGTGTTTGGGTAAGCTTTAACTGCTCTTAAATGCGTTTGGCAAAATCTCACTTAGAACCTGCCAGTTTTTTTCTGGGTTTGTTTTGTACTGGTTGCTAAGAACTTTCCAAAGTGTAAGAGGGAATTAGTRTTTTAGTTTGTTTAGTGTCATATGAGTCTATCTTGCATGACATAAATGCAATTGAGGGTAAAGGTAATTTCTGTCACCTTACATGTTAATATAAGTCAGAGCAGTGGGATAATTTAAATGGGTGCGTTGCTATTTTAAAAAAGTGTTATGAGTGGAAGAGGGGAGAAAATTTAGGAGTAGGTGGATTGCTTCTGGAAGGGATCCTTGGAGATGCTGACAACTTAAAAAAGAAAGATTATGTTACTTCTTGTGGTATTAGTTAGGTTTAAAGTGTCCTTTAAAGAATGTACTCTTAAGAGTGCAGTGTGTCTTTGGATTGCACAAATACCTGTGTGCTTTTGTTTCAGGAATGCTGAAAGATGGGAAGTTTCTCTATTTCAGTGTTCCAGAAAGATTGGTGCAGTTATTTGAACTGCATGGTCTATTTCCAGTGCAACATACATTCTAATAAGACTCTGGTTACTTAGCTCTGTGTAATGTTTTCAGTAGCAAGACACAGACTAACTGAAGCTTGCAAGAGTTTTTCTTATCATATAGATATAAAATAACATTTCAGAATTACCTTTCAATATGTGAATTTTCAGTGAGATGTTCTGCAAAATTTATATCTTGGCTGCATGTTTTTCATGACAGTTTGTATTTTTAAGTACTTGTTTAGGTTCACTTAAATGATTTATTTTGTCTATCTATGATATTAATAGAAGCTAAGTGATTATTCTTACTYGCTTTCTGTGTGAAAAGCAGAATGCATAGGCATTGAGTCCTGCACCGTCTTGAGTGACTGAAGGAATTAATTCATTTTCTAAAACTACTTTGAAACTCTGTTTTGGCCAGAAGAACTACTGTTGGGTCTGTTTACAATGGACAAGGAAAAGATTGAGTTAAGTGAAAGTTGTAGTTTAGAAAATCCGGAAAAGCAACCTGTTTAACAGGAATGCCTTTAAGTAGGGTAGTGCATTACACCTTCTTTACAAACAAGTTAGATTTGTATATAAAATGCTGTAAATATCACAGCTTTGGATTTTTTTTTTTTAATATAGATTCACTACTCATTATTCCCTTATGGAATCAAAGATACTGAGTAGTTTGTGTGTCTCTTCACAATACTGCCTGCAAACTGCTCTCTTCTGCTGAGTTGCTGAAATGAGCAAAAGTGACTTTTTCCTTCAGAATGCTTCTGCCTTGCACTTTAGGGAGGTGATGCTGTAGCCTGTGTACCACTCAGAGAATCAGATTGTGTACCAAGAGTGAAATTCAAGTGAATTAGTGGAATGGAACCTGAATTTAGCAGTATTGGAGCAGAAATGTGTGTACGTAGCTTTAGCATTAACAGATGTTTAGCGAGTGAACTCTCTTGTTATGGCTCAACATGTTTGCTTATTTATTCAGCTTTATTAAGCTTGAAATGCATGTACTGTGAAATGCTAAAAAGCTGGCTTAAAAGCAACCAGTATGGGATTGGGAGTCAGAAGGAAGAAATGAGTTGAAGAACTGTCTGGTCCACTCTTCTTTTTGTCCATTAATGTGCAAGTGCTTAAAAATCTTGAATTATGTACTTAACTCCACAGTTAAGTTGCTCTGTGTTATTATGTAAGAMATTTCTTTAGCTTCAGTGTTTCTTCATACTACACAACATCTTTGCAGGTAGGAGACTTTTGTATTCACTTTTCTCAGTAGTAACTGAGAAATTCACTTTTTCACAGTAACTGAGTTAATTTATGGCCTTTGGAAGCTATGATGGAAACGGTGGCTTTTGTGCTTGGGCAGAAGATGTGCTGGTATGAGCCCAGTGTTCTGTTTCTGTGCTAAGGTGGGATGGCTTAAGCACATTGTCTGCCCTCTAGATTAGTCTTTTGTAGTAGCACCTTCACTGTGATCCTTAAGCTTGCTGTGTACTCTGCTATCTCACATACCAGATTTAGGAATACTGTGTTATCTCAAGTTAATAGCTCACATCCAAATTGTAGAAGACCTCATGTCTGATTGGGTTATCTTAAGAGCAAGGTATATAGGCATTGTTTTTGGGCAGAACTTTTCACAGTGATAAAACAGGCAGGGGTAAATGAKATATAATATCTTGTTTGTGTCTTCTTATTTTAGTAGGTTGGAGGAAGAGAGCAAAGAAATGGGTGATACTGATATTTTTAGGATGTGAAGCAAGCCTGAAAGATCAAGCAGGAAATACATAGACAGCATGAACATGGTGAAAGTTCTGCATAGCATGTTTAATTGTTTCTGTAGTGTGTCAGGGTGCCAACATCTGTTTTAGAAACTATATGCTACTAAGCAACTGCAGTAAAATATTTTTCTGCTCTTGGATATTATATGTAGCTTTAGAGCTAGTTTGGGACACTTCTCAGGAAATGGGATAAACTGACTTGAAAAGATGGGGGAAGATGTGGTTTTAGCTTGCCTGTTAATGGAATAGTTCTTAGCACAATATTGGCAAAAAATTGTTGGTATGAATTACAAGATTTTTCATGACCTTTGTTTGTTTAATAGCTTCTATAATGYGTCAAGAAGCATGTTTGAAATAGTATATATGATTTGGAATAGGTGAAAAAGTTCCCACCGCACCCTTCGACTTTCTTCGTGCAGCTAGTCTATATAGTCAACCCTTGATCCTCTTCAATGGATATATCTTTTCCTCTTTAACTTGAAATCTGTGGGATGTGTTGCATGCCAGCAGTGGAAAAGGATACTAAAAGCACCTCAGCTTATGGACACCAGTGAAGCTGTAACACACTCCACTGGAGGGGAAACTCATGTTGTTAAGCATGTTGGCAGAATGGAAGAGTGCCTGGRAAGTGCAGAGTGGGGATTTGGTTAATGAAAGGAGGCAGAGTGAAGGAGGAGAGCTGAAAAGAATCTGTGTGTGCACAGGCAGAAACTGCCYCATAGTGAGATTTGAGTGTTGTTTAGTTTCCTTGGAACGTTTTTAAAACTGTCCWATTTCACGTTGAATTACATGATTCCAGACATTTATGCACAATTTTAACTGTGTATCTTCTAAGTAGGTGGAGTCCATGGCCTAGTTGTCTCTGGACTGTGTCCCCTGCATCTTCTAGAAAATGAGCACTGTAACACCACAGGCCACCTTGTGTCAGCTGTGCCAGAAGATGCTTTTAAACATGAAGAAATCTCTAAAGCCTTTTTATGATGACCGGGCAGGTCCTGGGTGAGGCTTGGGAAATGGCCATGTGATTTCCAGTTTGGTAACAAACCATTATTGGGATAGAGGATGAAAACTTCAAGCTTTTCAGTAAAAAATTGTTTCTGAGTTTATTAAATATGTTCTAGAATAGCTATTTCAGTATTAAAAGCATTCTGATCATTAGTTACAAAAGTAAATCCCAAGCTTCTTACCCCTGTTACTGCACAGTGGGYGAGTTCTCTTCTTGAGTGGCCATTGGCAGGATTTCCAACTGAATCCCAGTATATAAAATAAGGTTTTGTTGTACAAGTTTAACTTCTGCTGGGGGTTTTTGGAGTGAATCCCATTATTTCCTAAACTGGTAGTGGAGAGATGCATTCTGTAAATGTACATGATGCTCCTTTAGAAGAGCAAAGCCTAAGACCCTAATCTTTAGTTGAGTGTTGCACATGTTTCTCTTGTAGGAGTAACCTAATTGATAGATYAAAAGCATCAAGTAGAGCTTCATGCAGTGGCTGTAGGCAGTGCTGTTACAGGTCTGATTGCATTTTCCATTGTTTTGTAACGGTTTGAGCCTTTGTGTTAGGCCAGAAAACAAGGGAGTGACAGCTACAAGATACTTGCCTTGCTACAAGTTTGTATTATTTCAATACTGTTTGCATTGTGAAAGCCGTATAAGGCTAAATGTGGGCTTCCACCGGGTGGATTTCTTGCATCTTTGTAGCAGAGTGCTTTACAATTAGTGATTCAGTGAAAATACAATGCTGTTTGCTTTTTTGTGTAAGTATAGTGGAAACCAAGTTTTGTGTTTCCACTATAGTTAGTGGGGGGGAAAAAACGGGATTTTGTTTGTGTGGTGTTTTTTGTTTGTTTATTTGTTTATTTTTTAAATATGTGTTTAAATATGTGTTTAAATAATGTGTTTCATTAAGATACAAATCATTGTTTAGGTCCTGATGAGAAAACTTTCTGTGATATGCAGAAGTAGGGCTCATCATATTCTGTTCTTGTTTACCATGTACGTACTACTTTGACCAGTCTCCAATGTAAAGAGTTCAGCTGCAAACTTTAAGTCTGGTTTGAGCTACAGAATTTGAATTCATGTTATTTTTTCTGTTACTGTCCTTATGGACTTGTCAGATGTCCAAGTAACTGAAATCTAAGTATTTCAGAAAATAAATAGTAGGTTACATTTAACAAGTTTCGCTGCTGTCACCAACTTCTTGGGAAAGGATAGAAAGTTTAGAGACAGCTAAAACAAAGCTGTGGTGGTGGCAGAACAGACCCACTTTTAGATAGGTGGTGTTSCCATGA